AGATCACCAGCTCAGTGTGCTTGGAAAGCCCAAAGAACTCACGAAATGCTGGGTGTTACCAGCACACGTGCTGAGAACAGAACAAAAGAGAGGGCACCATTCCTCTATGATAAAAAACCTATAGGACTTCTGAAGTACTGCCTGTAGTTCTGGACTATGCATTTGCAGAAGGACACAGGGACAATCTGGAAGGGGACAACCAAAACTGAGAGGCAAGAGCATTAAGAAAGCATGCTGAAGAGGTTGAGAGTCACTGGGTTGGAAGGGAAAGGCTGTAGGAGAATAAGGGCAAGGTTTATGAAATCCTAAAGAAGGTAAATAAACTGGAGGTCTATTTCTGATTACAGAATCCTGTGGTAGCTGATCTAGGGGCGTTTGATTACACTGGTAGGAGATTGTTTTTAAAGAGATCAAACAAAGCTTGATGCCACAGGAGCCTGTGGAGGCAGATGGGTTGGCAGGATCAAAGATTAGACAAATTCATGAGCAGCAGGTTTGTAAGGGATGCTAAATGAGGGTATGTAGATACATACCAGAGCATCCCTCATGCAGCGACTGTGGATGTTGGGGGAGATGCAGAGAGGAGGGACCAGACCAGCACGACACACAAAAAGCATTTTCTACTGTTAGATTACAGCCTGGCCGAGTTAATTTCCAGGATTCCCTTAAGCTACTTTCCTTTATCTTTAAATTTGTGTTTACAAATCCTTGCAAAAAAAAAAAAAAAGGGATGTTTTAAAAGCCTTGTTACAAACCCAGCACATCACTGAGTTTTGTGCAAGGGAGAAATAACCCAGTGTGGTCAGCCTCAAGAACAAGAACAGCCTGCCCTGAGGAGCACGCTTACCCAGCCAGCATGCTGCTGAGATACATAGCACTGAGGCACCTCGTCAGGATGGCTTCTCTTGCAGTCAAAACGGTACACATGGCAGAGCTGACTACATAGCATGGAATTAAGTGCTGATTGGAATGCACCTAGTGAATTTCTCATTGTTACTGTTACATGAATGATACTGTCGCACAGTAATGAAATACTTATGCAAATGAGGGTGAGTTTTTGTCTCTTTCGTGCTCTAGCTGTTTGAAGTTGTGATACTCCTGAATATTTTTACAATTTTACTATCATACATTTTACTATGATTTCCTTCATGGAAAATGACATCTTTTTAGTGTCAGCTACGGCGTGTGCGTTGTGTGCAATGCAGCTCAACTGGGCTGTGACATGTCCTGGGGCAGTCACATTACTCCAGGGCAGGACAACAGGAAGCTTCCAGAAGTGGTGATATCTCCTCTTCATCCCACAAGAAATTCTCCATGGGAGAAAGCTGCATGAAGGGAGAAGAAATATTTTTGCAAGTAGAGTGTCACGTGGCAAAACCAACTGTGTGGCATTAATACAGATAACATGGGCAGCTTGGATGACAAATCTTTCTTTTGGCAGGAGGGTGTTGCTGTAAGTGCTATGACACTAAGGGCTTGTAAATAATTTCCTATGGAAAATCCAGAACCTTTTCATCTGGAACAGACTCTTTCTATTGGTATTTTGCAACTGCTGATCACACAGCTACTGTAAGCACAGAAGCACTGGATTGCTTCCTGTGACAGAATTGGTGGTTTTTTTCCTACACAATATTTTCAAATAAATAATTTCACGTCTGTTCAAAATCCTGTTGCATACTTTTTTTCCCCTCTTGGCACAGGTCAGCAGTGATTGGCTTGTTGGATTTTGGCACTTGCCCTTGAAGTGAGAGGGAGACTAATGAATATTCAGCAGAGAGGTTATGGCAGAAGACAAACCGGAGGGCAGACTTACTGGACTCGCTGCTTATTTTCACTGAGCCCGTTGTGTTGGTGGAAAAGTGATGTAGTTGGTTGTTAGCCACTGAATCTCTAATTTATTTCAGTTTGACAGTTCTCCAGGCATTAGAGGATGGACTGAAAAGAGCAGAAACAGATCCTTCAGTGAAAGCTGTTACAATTTGTGGTGAAAACGGGAAGTTCAGTGCAGGTAAGACATTCCTTCAAACAGTTTGAGAAAAAGAGGAAGAACTGTGCCCACATGTGAAGATTCTCTGCCATGTAGCACTAACAACAAAATGCCACAAATTCTGATGTGGCTGAAAATAGCTGCAAAACAGTGGGCCTTTTCTGCTGTCCCAGACTGGTTTGAACACATCACACATTGGACGGTCCAGGCCAGAAATATGCTGGTAGATTCATGCTGAAACTGGGAACAACTTCTTATCTTCCTATCTTCCTGACATGTTGGTGTCTCCTTGCTTTCCATGACACTGCAAAATCTCAGGACCAAGAATTAGCCAATTATATAGAACCATCCTGGGATGGGGCAGTTGTAACGGGACTCCTCCAGTTGTAGAGATCCGTGAAGCTAACAAATTTCTGTGGAGTTTGACATTACCTGTAAGAAGCAATTCCACTTCTCCAGACTTAACTTCTTTTATTTTTTTAGTAAGCATCTTTGCAAATTACTGCATTAACTGCACGATCATTACAGTTACATACTCTTCTATTTTGCCATCCCCTTAGTGACCTGAATATGCATAAGGAGCCTGGGTTTCTTGCAGCTGTTCTCAAGAGATCATTGCCTGTTACATGCCAGCAGCATGTTCTGTCAGACCTCAGTCATCAGCGAGTGCTGACGTCTAATGGCACTGAGGGAGGTGTCGTTCCATTCACTGCCTCCTCCACTAATTCCTTCTCATTTTTGTGCTTCCACAGGCGCTGATATTCGAGGATTTTCTTCTCCAAAGAAACAGAGTCTTGGCTTGGGCCCCATAGTTTCCCTAATAGAAAGGAGTCAGAAGCCTGTTGTGGCTGCCATTGAAGGCATTGCCTTGGGAGGAGGCCTGGAGGTGACACTTGGTTGCCATTATCGTATCGCACACGTGCAGGTAACACTGTGAACTAGAGAAGTGGGGGGGAGCATCTGGGGCCTGTGGCCACGTACAGAGTGGGAGGCTGCTCCTGAAGAGCAGCTGAGCAGAAGCTGAGCAGTGTGTCTTTCCTAATTAGAAACTTCAGAATCCGAGTGTTAATTTGCACTCGGTCTCAGAAGTCGTTATCACAATTGCATAGCTGGCTCATGCAGCATGACTTTCTCTTTCTTATTTTTCTCCCCAGCCACATAAATTTAGCATTTCTGTCTGCTAGTGGCCTAGTTTCAGTAGATAGTTGAAACTCAGCTAGCACAGAGCACTTACAATTTGATTCCTCATGGGCTGTTTCCTCAGGGTGCACTCTAATCAGCAGACAGCTTCCCCTCCTCCATTTTTAAGTCTTTCAAAGTCATCTTTTTTATTTCTCTCAAATATCTTCCTTCAGGATTGCCCAACTGTCTTTTAGCAGCACCTCATCTCCTTACAGAGACTCTTCCCTGACAGGAGTGTCTCCTCGCTGTTTCAGAGTGAATTACTCACACCTGGCAGCGTGGGTTGCTATAACACAATAAAGAGGCACTTTATATACCCTGCATGTGACCTAAGATAGGTGCCCGAAGTACAGATCTTAAAATGTCTCCACATCTCTTAAGAGCTCAGTTAGAAACATACAGTATAAAATTTAAGAAAAAAGACACAGTGAATCATTTTTCTAAGTGAAGATAGGAGCTGTCACTGGCTTCTTTACCATAAGTCTAGTAAATCTCAAGTGCACCAAGAACCACCTGAGCATTTTTGAAGGACAGTTAGTGAAGAGTTCAGTATGTGAGTGTTTTCCTGCAATAAATTTCTCATAAATAGCGAAAGGAGACAGCAGGTCACAGAGACACTGACAACTGTTTGCCCTTTTGAGCTGTGCAGCTGGAAGCATTGTTTTGCACATGTTATGGTCTGGGGTGATGCCGTTGTCTCCATCAATCTCCAGCATTGTGCTACTACCCACACATCCACTGATGGACACCTCTTCTGCTCCTGTACATAAGTTACTGAAAAAGTTGAGTGGGCTTCTGGGTTAAACATCTTATACAGAAAAAAAGCAGAAATTAGGATTTTGTGTCGTAGTTCATGGAGGATTCCGAAAGAATCAGCACACAAATCAGGTCCAATTGTCTTTGTTCTGCTCAGCTCCTAATTACTGATCTTGTTAATCAGATTTGTTGTTGAATTTGACTTTGGTTTAGGCACGGATGGGTTTACCAGAAGTCACAATTGGGTTGCTTCCAGGCGCTGAAGGCACTCAGCGGCTCCCCAGACTGATTGGGGTTCCTGCTGCCCTGGATATAATTACTACAGGTAAAGTACTGTGCCACGCTCCATATGAGGGGATGAGAGCAAGTCATGCCATTGCTTTTGTCTAATGAATCATAATGTTTGTTTGGACATAGCTGCACGAGTTGAAATTCAGCTTGATTCCTCCCAGGATTCACTAGGAAAGGGACACATGCCCTTCTGAGGCATGTAGTTAGTTATGCACTTGATGTACCTGATAAGCATGTCTGATACTTGAGGCCAGCTACATGTAAGTCATTTGATCAGACTGAAAAAAGAGTGAAATCACATGTAACGCCCCAGCTGTAGTCACCTTATTTCTCTTTTCATCATAGGAAGACACATCTCTGCAACTGAAGCACTGAAGCTGGGCTTGGTTGATGAAGTTGTGGAAGAGAATACAGTCGAAGCAGCAATCCGTGTCGCAAACAAGTTGATTGGTGAGGAAAGAATTGTAGCAATGCCAGGAAATAATTGGTGAGGCTGAAGAGAATTAGAACAAAACCCATTAGCTTGTTCCAGTCTTCACATTCCATTCGTTGGGTTTTGGCATCCATATGAACTGGAATGAACAGCAGGATTTGTTTTCTGTTAAGTGAAAGTGAAAAAATTCAGATGCTGAAGAGCTGCAGGAATATTAAGTGAGGATTCAGAGGAAAAAAAAAAGTAGAGAGTCCTCATGCTTCTATAATTTTATATCCATGTTTTTCTGGACTGCTGCTCTCAACTGATTCGAGAGAGTTGTGCTCTTTCTATACGCAGTTTTGGATGACAGCTGGCATTTATGTAGTCTGGTTGCACCATCAGTAACAGCTAATTGAAAATAACGTTCTCCCTCCCTCTAGTGGAGGGACTGGCGCATCCTCAGCCCAACTCAGTGATTTGTGAGTAACTGTTACCCTTCAGCTGCTTCATGAGAAAATGGACTATGGAGATGGGGAGACACGCAGAGAGATTTCTCCACCTTAGAAGTAACAAAATCAAATTCACAGGATTTAGCACAGAAAGGGGATCATTCACAGACCAGCCTGAAAAGCACCACCTTGAGAGAAAACAGAACATTTTCCCACCAACTCTGAGATGGACCATTGTCTCCAGTCAGAACTAGATGTGGAATCCTTTCAGAAGATGCACACAAGGAAGAAGAAAAAGAACAACTCAGCACTACCACCCATCTTCTCTGATCACTTGGTCTTTACAGGCAGTGCTTTTCCAAACTGGAGTGCTCCTGCAACAATTTCCACTACAAACAGGAATGGTTTTCCTTCTCTGTAAGAGTACTTCTCCCACTGTAGAAGCTGAAGCAGCCTCAGTTCTAGATGACAACGCATTATATTTTTAAGACATCTCAGTGAATGCACTATTCTTCAAAATAGTATATACTTAGATATATCTTAGATACAAAATAGAACATTCTTCAAAAAGTATCTTCTTAGCTGCAATGTGGGATTTACCAGATAAGTGCAAAAGGGTGTTCTTTGCCTGGGTCTTCTGTAACTCTCTTCCATCTCATTGTATCCATGCTACAGTATCTTCATTTTTAGTGCAGAACTGTTGATGTAAGCAATCCTTTTCTTTCCTCATATCTAATTAGACTGTTTAAATATAAAAACTTTAGAAAGGTAGGTGATATGCTTCCACACTGCTTAAGAAAAGCTGAGGCACCTTGGCACCCTGCTCTTGTCTGTTTTGAATGATAATTCACTGCTACTTTCCCAGACAAATTAACCCAAAATGTTCCCTTTAATGTACTCTCAGGGTTACGAATGACACCTTGTGTAAGATCTCCACCAATACTGATGGCAGAGGCAGTATATCATCAAATGAATAACAGATATGTTGCTAGATGCAGCGAACTGGCAAGCATCCTGGTTTTCAACAAATGCTATGTGAAACTGGGTGAATTCTAGACATTTGTAAGCTTATTTCTTCCGTGACAGCATAGCGCAGCAAATGAGAATTGCAAAATCAGCTCAACTTCAGATGAGAACCTCAGGAATGAATCCCTGAGTGCACTGTGCCTCAGTGTAACTTGGAACTTACATCTACTGCCATTATTCAGAAATCCATGTTCTGTAGCTTCATTTCCATAGGAAAATGCCACTAGCAAGAAAAGTTGAGAACTGCACAAGCATACAAAGATCCTATCTGGATATCCAGCAAGTAACCTGCCTGTTCCAGTCCTGCTCATTACTTGTAGTAGCTTTTCTGTTTCTTGCACCGGTGACAAATGAGTAGCACTGCTGAAGGTATTTCACATCACTCTATATACCAGCTCCAACAGGACTTCCAAAAACATGCTTTCAGACTTTCTCCAACTGCTCTACTGGCAGGATGTTCTTTAACAGTGAAAGCACTGGAGGCACAGTTCTCCAAGTAGGAGAGATGTAGAGGTGAATTCATCTTTAGACTTTACAGGACATCATGAGAAGTTCTGACACTCCATTTAGCCTCTGGTGACCTGATCAGGCTGACAGGATGAGGTACCCAGAGTCCACACATGCCTCTTGAGTCATTCCTGGCTTTGGCTTTTGCATAACCCTAAAATCTTCTGCCATACAACAGCAAACCAACACTTTCAGTTCTGTACCTCAGTCACTAACTTGGGGCTGCAGAAGAGATATGACAGTCTCGTGTAGCTGGCCTGGCTTTTGTTCACAGTGAGTTAGGCTTTCAGTGAACGTGTTTCAGGCAACCTTAAGGACAGAAGTGGAATTATATAATGTCATAACAAGTGCACTTTGTATGGAGTGCAGCATTTTATTTCTGAGGGTTTTTGTTGTTTTTTTTTTTTAAATTGAGGTTAACAACTGCTGGCTTCTTACAGAACAGTTTGGTTAAGTAACTCATTGTCACCGCTGGAATTTTTGCTTTTAGCCAGGGAGAGCTGTGCTGCAGGATCCAGCTCAAGGAGCTAATTAAGGTAATTCCTCTGAAGCCTTCTCAGTGTTGCAGCTGCAGCACCTCAGAGCAAGAAACCAGCCTCAAACGGGTGGCTGTATGGAAGCAGGGCTCTTTGTTTCTATACGTAAGTGACAGAGCTACCTTTATGGCAGTTTTGTTGGGACAGCATCTTCATCCATAAACTTTTATGGAATATTCCTAAGAATGAGCACCTTCTGAGCAGCTCTGAAGGAATGCCTGTAGGAATACACAAATACAATTAAGATCTCTTATTTTTAGGCAAGAATACACTCAGAAGTGAATGTGTTCCCTTCCTTCAGAAGAAATAGCCTCTTCAGGAAAAAGAAAGCATTTTCACTTTTGAAAGAGAAACAAATAGGAACTACGTTCTTGGAGACTAGAAGAGTCTTCTTTCATTAAACCTGTTTGATAATTGCTGTGCTAATTCAAAGCTGCATGGCATAATTTGTCCACCTGATGGCATCACAAAATTGAAAAATTGCTGCAATTGTTTGCAGCTTATATTGCCCACCTCTGCTGGCCTTCCTGGGCTGGAGGAGAAAATGGCAGCTGATCCTCTGCATGGCTGACTTCTTCAGAGCTCCCCTTTTATAATCATCTCTTGCTTTATCTTCTTTGGGGCACAAGAGTATCCATGGTTTGCATCAAAGAGCCAACCAACATCAGTTCAATTTAGGTTAGTTCAGACCCCCCAGGTATTAAATTCCACATGGAAAGAGGATTATGAGTTTGACTGTAGACTAACAGCAATAACTGTGTGGGATGCAGGTGTTTCTTCTGAGGCTCAAGAAACTCACAGGAGTAACATTACTGCTCATGTAGTAATTGCACACCTTAAATGAAGGCTGCTGGAGAAAAGCTTGCATTTACAGTTGTAAGGGCCTTTATTCTATCTCTGGGAAGATGTACACTATATGGGTATTTGAATCTCTCTTCAGGGCTTATCATTCTGGCTAATATCATCCATAGACAGAAAGTCTAATAAAGTGCTCCTTTGAGACAACCAGAGGATAATAAAAAATCTGATAGGAGCCATACTTGCTTCTAGCTGACATGAAACTGCTGCTAGCCTGAGAAGCAGGGGACCACTTTCAGCTTCACTCCCTAGGCATGCACAAGCAGTTCACTGCAGTAAGCTGGTTGTTGGGCTAACCCTGCCTCTTGTATCTGAAGTCCAGTAACATCTCTAGAGTTCACCACTCTGGAATACTAGGTTTTTTTGTTTTGTTTTGTCTTGTTTTGTTTTAATAGCACAATGTTTGATACTGCAGGCTTACTGTTGCTTTTTCTGATAGAGATTTTATGGATTTGATCCATCCTTCCTGCTACCTGGACTACAAATTCTAATGAAAACAAAGTAGGTGTCTGTGCTAGATACTGTACATAGATACCACTTTCTCCTGTACCATGACATCTGATGCTGTTCATCATGTCCCTGCTTTTTTGATTTTAGAAATCAAGCTGTAGGTATCCTGCACAAGTTCAGATTCACGTCATTCTTTCCTGTTCATAAAAAACTACTACAGAAATGCTTCACTAAATAAGAGTTTTACTATAGGATCCTGAAGACAGTAATTATCTCATGTCCTCCCTCAATGTTTCTACTTAACAGTACTGCTTTACCTGAAGACCATGCTTAAAGGCTCCCGGTAGTCTCATCACCACATCAGAGATGCGAAGTCTCTCGATCTGCTCAGTTTTCAGTGGCCTTCCAGCCATCAGATGTGCTTTCTGGGACAAACCAGACATTTCCTTTTCAGAAAGGATCAACCTGATTGGATAAAGAGCATCCTCATGTTAGAAACATGCATTTTGGGAAGACAAAGGGTTCAAAAATAAACAAACATCATCCTTACTAAAACCCTGCAGTACTGACAGCAAATATGGGTTGGATCTGTCAGTGAGGAAACATTGTTTTCAGTTTACTTTACATGTGGAGTTACTTAGTGTTAATCCTTCCGTCTGTTCTGCAGAAGCCTTGATTTAAAAGCCTGAGCTCTGAAGACCATTGCTTCAAGAAATCAGTACTAACTCATCATGTTTGTTTGACTTAAGAGATCTAGAGTCAGACCATGTTCTTCAGGCAACCACAACTGTGGTACTGCATATAGCAGTATGGGAATATATCCCATTTTTCAGCATCCTGTGTATGCTGGGGTGACAGATGTCCTGCTCCTGGGTCTTCTGCTGATGTACTGGCATTTTAAGTTAGACAACAGGAAGAGAAAGGAGAGCTGGGTGCAATATGCCACCTTTGAAAGAATTATGCTCCTATGGCAGAGCTTGTAACAGAAGCCAGAGCAATGAGGCTACATGCCAGAGAGCTTCTCAGCTCTGGGCTCCCATCACAGTGGGCCCACCTGCAATCCTGCTTTGTTGGTGATCCTGGATGCTTCTGGGAATAGTGCTGCAGCACCCAGCACCATAACATCACCTCACCGTTAGATAAGGATCTGGCTATAACTTTTTTGTTTTTTGCAGCTCTGGAATATTGAGGAGATACATTCTGAGCTTCCAATCTTGTCCCACCATGATTTTTATTGAGACAAGCTGCCATTAAGAATATAAGAAATAGCCTGAATACAGATAGATCATAGATCTCCCAGCAGGCCCAGAGGTTTATAATTCTGAAGAGGACAGAGAGGATTTCAGTGTCTGAAATGTAACTAACTTCTCTCAATTAAACATCTTTCTAGGTATTACCATAGCAACCTCTGCCTGTAATGAGGCTCGTGTATTTGTGTGACTGCTTGATTCACCCCTTGCTGACACAGAAGCATGAACTCTTCCTTGTTATTCATTTGCTCCCCAACTCATGCTGTGTGAGCCATCCTCTCAGCTAGTCCCACAGGGAATGGAGGGAATCCTGCTGTCAGGGAAAAATTAAAATCAGAGTGTATTTCCCAGTCATTCATATAAATGCCTGGGTCAGGACCCTGACTCGAATGCATCTGGCTAACAATGAGTACTAAGCAATACTGAGGGAAAACTCCAGTATTGAAGCTTACAGAAAAAATAGCCTTATGAATGTGACAGTTGGGACTGTGGAATTAGAACTGAAGAAGTCAAGCCACTCTTTAGCTGAGAAAAGGAGAGAATTATGTCTTTGAAATTGAAATCTTAGTTCATTGAATTCTGGGAAGAAGGGTCTTGAAAAATTGTCATTGTCAGGGCAAACAAAGCTGAAGGGAAATGCCAGGTTTAATACTAGACCCAGATCATTGTGCTACGCAAGCCCTAGTAGTGCAGTAGGCTTAGAAGGAGGTAGAACAAGAATAGGACTGCATTATACCTTCTGTGTAGAAACAGGTGAAAACCCATAGTCCTCCAAGAGATGTTAATGTTTTGTTCTCTAACTGCCATTTTTCTACCCACAGGCCAGCCCTTGGGACACCGCAGGCTCAGCCTGAAGCCAGTCCCCAAATTGCCCAACATGGAAGAGTTTCTCACTGAGGCTTTTGTAAAGCTGAAGAAACGGGCCCAAGGGTACCTGGCACCAGAGCTGTGCTTCCAAGCAATCAAAGCTGCCACAGAGAAGCCATTTGCAGATGGAGTCCAGAAGGAGAGAGAGCTATTTAACATCCTGCTGACTTCAGGCCAGGCCAAAGCACTGCAGCATGCTTTCTTTGCAGAGAGAGCAGTGGAGAAGTGGACAACACCCAGTGGAGCTTCATGGAAAAGTGCTTCCCCTCAGCCCATCCGCAAAGCAGCTGTGATAGGTAAGGGGGGGAAAAGCCATTTCATTTCCTGACTGTACAGTTCACAGCAGAGCCCCTTTCAGCGAGCAAGTAAGATGATGCTTTACTCATGGCAGAAAGGCTAAGTAGAATTCACAGGACACACATATTTGAGGCCCATGGGTGACATAAAAAGAGAAGTCACCACTGTATCTGTAAGCTCAGAGAATCAAACGGTAAGTTATGTGCTACTATTGCTACTTTATCCCACCTGTTTCTTAAGAAGAGCACTGTCCTCTCAGTTCAGAGTGAGCTTCATCTGTGGACCATATGTATTCTGGTCCCTTGGAAGAAATGTTGTGGTGAGTCCTAGCTTTATGCCATGTTGTAAGCCAGCTTGCTTAAAATTCTCCTCCTTTCAGTCTAGTTCTGTGGTGCAAGTGTGTAGTGTGTATAGAGCCACTCAGGGATATATTAAAACAAAAATGTTTTGACAGCTGTATTTTTAAGAAGATTTCATCTCACTGGGATCCACTCCTGCCATTTTGTAGCCCAGCGAGATAATGCCTTCATTAATTTTTTATGAGAGCAATTTAAATAAAGCCTTTGATGCACTGCTGCGATTTATATACTAAAAAAAAGTGTCTTTCAGCTCTGCCTGTTGATAGTAGCACTCAAAAATGGTTAGATGAGTAATGGAGCACTTGGAAGACATCCATTCTGTTTCAGAGGAAGCTCACCAAACCAATACTGCTCTGTCCTGGGTTTTCTCAGGCCTCCTATGCTCTGAAATATGAGCTCTCTGGAAACTCATTTCAGGCCACACTTTCTTTTAGTTCTCTTTGAAAGTTCCCTTCTTTTCATTAGCTTCCCTAAGTGAATCCGTGCTGTATTTGTAATGAAAATGTTTTTTAAATTTTGACCTTTGTGTCTTTCAGGCATGAATTATTGCTTAACTGTTGCATAGGTGCATGCAATCCCAAACAGGACAGTCCTGCACCATGTTCTTAGGCAGAAGGAGCTTATGCTGAAGTCTTGTAGGAATGATCAGGTGACTAGAATCAACATTAGAACAGACATTCTTTATGTACTGATTAATCACGCTACAATAAATAGCGCAGTAGAAAAACCCTAATAGCAGTAACAGATAGCCAGAAGGGCCATTCTGAACATCTGATCAGCTTAATTTGGTGCTGTACTACACAGCAAGATCTGGCTTCTCCCCAAGGGATGGAGTGGAGGGCAGTAACGCACCACAGAGCCACAATTTAGAAGGGTCCTTTAGAAGTCATCCTATGCAACACCCATACTCAAACAGGGCCACGTAGCACCAGTTTCCCAGGACAGTGATAAGAGAGCCTCTTCAAATTTGTGCCTGTGCTCATTCACCCTCACAATAAAAGCAGTACTACCTGATGTTTAGATGGAGCTTCCCATGTTTCAGTTTCTGCCCATTGCCTCTCACCTCATCACTATGTACCACTGACAAGAGCCTGATTTCTTCTTCACACATTGTCCTCAGGTTTTTATGTACATCAGTGAGATTCTGCCTTGCCATACCCATCAGGCTTTCTCTTCTCTAGGCTGAAAGAGCTCCAGCTCTCTTAGCCTTTCCACATAGGAATTACTCCAGTTCCTTGATCATTTAGCGGCCCATTACTGGGCTCTTTCCAGTAATTTCATGTTTCTCTTGTACTGGGGAGTCCAGAACTGGACACAGTACTCCAGCTGTGATCTCACCAGTGCTGAGCAGATGGAACAGATCTCTCCCACAACCTGCCAGCATCACTCCTCCTCATGCCACCCTGTATACTAATAACTTTTTTTTTTTTTTTTTTAAAAAAAAAACAGCAAAGACCAATTGCAGGTCACAGTCAGTTTGGTGTCCAACAGGATCCCAAATCCTTTTCTACAAGGCTGCTTTCCAGCCAGTCAGCCCTCAGAATATTCTGGGGCATCAAATCATTCCTCCCCAGGTGTAGCACTTTGCATTTTCCCCGTTGAGCTTCATGATATTCCTGCCAACCCATTTCTCCCTCTGGATGGCAGCACAACCCTCTGGTGTATCATTTAGTTACAGTGCCTGAGCAAGGCAGTCAGGGCAGGCACAGAAATCACAACAGGAATCTACTAGACATCCAGATGATAAAGCAAAAGAGATGCAATGAAGCAAATGCAAGGCAGAGTTAAGAAGCCAGTCAGCAGATTGAAGTCTGGATCAACAGTGGCTGTGGCCAGAGGCGAACGTTCTTCTGATGTAGCTCAGGAAGGGGATACAGGTCCACAGCTGAGCTTAATGTGTGTTCTGAGGCCCAAAGGCAGCAGACATAGGGCAGAGGTTTGAGATGTAGCTGGTCAAGGTCATTAAAACTTATGAATGCACCCAAGGCCCTGACACCTAGTAGAACTCTTAATTCCTTCTGTAAATCACTTCTTCTGTCAATACAGCTCCCATAGCCAGCTATTATGGCTTGATTTATTTGTACTAGATGTAGGCCTCATGCTTGATATGATGAGCAGCATCTATTTTAGAGACCATCAATCACCTCCTTTTAATTCTCAATCGTATGTCATGCTAAATGTCATTGCTTTCCATCACTTATTTTTTTTCTTTCACCCCACCAGACTTTTTCCTGCAGAAGGATTTCCTTCTATCTGGTATGAAATAGAGGCATATAGCTGCCTCTGACCAGCTCTGAATAGCCCAAGAGAAGTATTAGCCACAATCAAAAAATATGGAAAGAATAGCTTACCCCATCCTGAAGGCAAGGGTTCACTGGAAAACTCCCAGAAGAAAGCAGCCTCTAAGCAAAGATGCTTTTCCTCATGGCTGCCAACCCTTAAATGAGGTTCTGGTCACACAGATGAATTGCTTGCACCTGTTCTCCCTTCCAGTGCTGGCCCAGCCCTTCACCAGGTGCTCAGTCTGTGTTCAGTTCAGGCTGTGACCTCGCAGTTCCCTTGCCTTGAATGCATGAAATAAAAGCCTTTTGGAGATGGGTGTGGAACATGCCAACATAATTGCGTTTTCTTCTCTCAGGCTCACATAACAAGAAGTCACTCTCCAGCCAGTACCTTGCTGTGCAGTGTGTCATAGTTCCACATTCTTGATCTTTAGCACATTCTTGTAGTGCCAAAAATAAAAATCTTAGGGGTGATTTTTGAGGGACTGACACCTTTTAAAATAAGGCTGACCATCCTTTTAAAGTACTGAGTCTCAATAGGTTACCCAGGGTCTCTATTTTCATTGAAGAGAGGAAGTCACTCAGAGCAGGATTTTTGCATTCTTCTGCAACCCTCATTTTCCAATAGGCAGTGCTGTTTCCTGCACTAAAGCCCTTGCACTATGCTGGTTCTTCTGTCTATTATCACTGCAAAATGAGAAGCCACTGATTAGACCACTGTGACTTCTTCCTTCTTCAATGCCTTTTCTGTCAGCACAGAGGACCTTTAGGGGATGGAGGCAGTGTCATGAATGCTGGGGAAGCCCTGCCTTGTGGACTCAGTGTCAATCTAATATTAGCAGGACTTGTTAGAGGGAACTGGCACCAAGTCTTAATGTATATTCAACATCAGGGATTATGTGTCATTTTAGCAGGCACCCTTGATAGATGTCATTGCTGATGACTTGGCAACTGTTCCTGTGAATCCTGGCCTCCCATCAGCTGCCTTCACCTGCATTTTGCTCACTAAATGACTGATAAGCAGGTAGCACCCAGCTGTGTGGGTTCCCACCTGCTCTTGGCCTAGCTGTCCTAGGCTGATTTAGCCTACTTTACTTGCTTCTGCTTCCGGACTCTTGGCATCCATCTCTTTCCACTTACTCTCATTCCTCTTCACCCAGAAAAAGAGTTCATCTCTATCCCTTCTGCAGTCTTTCCATCTCTCCCTCCTTGCCTTGAGCATCACATTAATTCTGCTTGAAGTTAATACCCAGAAACAAGCAGCTCCAGTCAGAATCAGTCCACCGCCACCTATTGCTCATTGTTATTTTTAACATGGGAAATGAGATCATCTTTGCATGTTCTTACCGATCTATAAAGTATTGTTTCCAATTCCTGTCGTTTTAAAGTTCAAATACTCACTATAGTTCAGAGTATTTTCTACTGATACGTACTTCTCTGTGACTCTACATAAGTTTATACATATTTTGAGTTCATTTTGAAACTCGTTTTTAAAATCCTTCAATTAATTTTGCACGATCATTCATATTCTCGGTACCTCATGTGATGGACCAGTAATTAACAAGAGCTGTTCAGTCAGCTTTCCCAACAAACCGATTTGCCATATCCGCGTTTGGCCTTATTTTGTGAGTTTAAGCACAGCTTTATGCCTGTGTCAAATCTGCAGTGCACAGTGGAAGATCAGAGGCAAGAGGGGTAGGCACTATTATTTTCCTGAAGTGGATTTCAGTTTTGAAATGCTCTGGCTATTCCTGATACAACTCTGGAAACAATTCCTTCAATGAAAGACAACTATTTAGGGTGGGTTTTTTGTTAACAGTTGGGGTGCATTAAGAGCCCTATTGAGGAAGAAAATGAAATATACAGTAGAAGTCCTGGAGTAGTTCTGTCTATTAGCTATGCAATCTGAATGGAGCATGCAACATTTCCCTTTCTCTTTCTCCTTCTAAACATGCAAGACCCAATGATTCCTGACCATTTTTTACTGCTCTAACATATTTTTCCCCATGATCATGAATCTCAATAAAATTGAAAGGGAAGTCCTCAGAAATGCTTCTTTCCCTGCTAAATAGCCAGATATCTCCCAGGCTTTATAGCCCAATTTTAGAAAATATTTCCAGGGGAGTCATGCTGTGCAAGCTCTAATGTAACAAAACCCTTGGGGCTTTCATTACTCTCTCTGCCAGCTTCATTAAACATCATTTCGTACAGGCCACTGAAGAGTTATGTAGTAAGTCGAGAGACAGCTTTTCTAGGTCAGAAACAAGCTTGGCAAGCTCATGTCTTGTCTATAAGCCCACTCCTGTGGCCTAGAAAGTGCAGCACTACAGACATGTATGCCTGTCTGTCAAGGGATGGTGAAAACCTAGGTGGGAATACTACATGTTAACAAAAACAAACTGCTGGATCAGCTACTGCCACCAGAATGGAGAGCTGGAAAACCACTGCTCATGGAAGAGTTGTGATTTAGGAGGAAACAGCGTGTTCACAGTGTGAGAGAACTGCTGAGATTTCAGTCATGAAACTGAAGCCGAGCGGAAGGGGAGTTACTAAGGCCCAGAATGTGGGTCTTTTTAGTGGAGGTTGGAAATTCTAAGGAGATACCCCAGGTGCCCACCCTGGAAAGGAATAAATGAACTGAGGAGGAAACCATGAAGAACCAAATGCAGAACTGCAAGCCCTTCACCATGTTGTCTAAAGAGAGCCCTGGAGATGGGGCTAGGCTTGGTGGGTATTCGTGAGGTGGTGAGAGACGCTGCCACACTGAGAAGAAAGCAGTCTCTGTAGCTCAGCAAAGACAGGGAGAAAGCTGGCTCTAGCACTGCTGCCACATCCACGCCTCTGAGAACAAAGCAAAGTGGGAGGAGGTGTTTGTGTTTGTTTGCTTTTCAGTCAGCAAACCACGGACAATTAAGTATTAAGAAATGATTCATGTGATATGACTTTTGTTGTCAAATTAATTTTTAGCAGTGTCTGATAATGAGGTAACGGATCAAATTTCCCATAAAGGAACTTCAGTATTTGCTTGTTATGAGCAAGCTTCCAGATAGTGAGATCTGTAAGAACTATGTTCTTAAAGCTAAGCAGGGAATGTTTGAAATGCCTTCTGAGTACACAAGTTCAGCATGGACAGAACTGAAGCAAGGGTGTGTGGCTTGCAGGAAAAATACACCACCTCATTTGACCTTCATTGTTGGAACTTGTTTAACTGACGACATAATTTCAGCTCTTCTCTATAAAGCTGCTTTAGACAAAAAAATTAATCCCTTTGTTTCAGTTTATTTGTTTAGCTGAATTTAATTTGTAAACCAAGGATTAAAAAAAAAATCATTTTTACAGAATTATAACCAACCTGGCCTTTGCGTAGTTGTTCCTTTATTTAGGATATTAATAATCCTCCCATTTGAATGCTTTGCACTTTTAAAGCTGATAAAATTGTGCTGGCTTTCTCACTAGTTTGTATTAGCTCTGTCCACAAAGCTTCCATCATGGGAGAACAGAATAAGTAGCGTGGGCTGGGTATCATAGGAAAGTGTAAGCACACAGCTTCACTTAATGTAACAGAGGGCAGAGCCAGGGGAAGGGCTCAAAAGGAGGGAAGGTATCAAGGCAGTAATCTCAGCAATGTTATTTCTTAGGGTATGAGCTGGTCACAGCACAGTTGTGGATCTCAGAGGAAAAAAACAGCTTAAATGGAGGATCGGTTGTGGGCATTTTGGACAAGAGTATGGTTGGTCAATGAAGGCCGTATCTTTAGTAATCCTCAAGTTAGGATGGCCCTTATCAGAGGGCTTGGATTGCCCCCAGTTGGCAGAGATGAACAATACAAAGCGTGAACAGCAAGCAAAAGGCTGCTGTTGTCCCAGGGTAAGAACACAATGTTAGTTCCATGCCTGAACTGGTGATGAGCGATACAGGAGACATGAAAGTCAAGATGAGATTCTTCTGAGACGCTTTAAAGAAAGAGTGGCTGAATTTGTGTTCGCATCAAAGGTAACGCAGAGTGAGACAAACAGGAAGCTCGCAAGGAAGAGGAAGAAACCAATTGCCTGAGCTTTCCTGGTGTCAAAATATCTGCGTGGGGTGTCTTTGTTTGCAGAGATGTTCGTCTGTGAGTGCCCATGAGGGACCGTAGCAAAAGGACAAGACAGGCACTGGTATCTCAAGGTGAAGCTGGCAGAAACAGGGTCGACCTCCTGTCTTCACTCCCCAAGTTCTAACTATTAAGTGATGCTGGTTTCCATAGGGATAAAACTTTGCAAGGACAAGACATGAATCACGTGGTCCACATGCACCAGTGTGAATCCCATTGGTATTTTGTAATCTTGAGAAGACACCAGTTTGCCTTTATGCTATTTCTCTTCAGACTTTTATGCTCCCTTACAGAGAGACTTCACCTTCCTTTTTCTGAGTCTTCGGTTCTTTCTGCCTGTGCATTTTGCTTAAGCTTCCGCTTTTTATCTTGGAGATACCAAAGGAAGTGCTGCTGTCAAATGACTGATTGTAACATTTTCTATTCACAGTTTCTGATTCTATCTCACTTTTATCTCCAGGGCTGGGAACAATGGGCCGAGGCATTGTGACTTCTCTGGTTAAGGCCAAGATACCTGTGGTAGCCCTGGAGCAGGATCTGGAGTATCTGAATACAGGAAGAAAAGCCGTGATGCTCCTTTTGGAACATGAGGCTAAGAAAATGGAGCAGGGTGCCCAAACCCTGGATTTCCATAACCCTGCACGACTCCAGTTCGCTGTGGACTTCGATGTGTTGCGGGATGTAGATCTAGTTATTGAAGCTGTGTTTGAGAACATGGCACTAAAGAAGGAAATATTCAGCAAGCTATCAAGAGTCTGCAAGCCGGAGGCCTTTCTGTGTACAAACACATCAGCCCTGAATATCGATGAAATAGCTTCTGTCACCAGCCGCCCACAGCAGGTCATTGGCACGCACTTCTTCTCCCCTGCTCATGTGATGAGGCTGTTAGAAATAATCTATGGCCGTCACACGGCCCCCACCACCATTGCCACAGCCATGCAGCTAGCCAAAGTGATAAAGAAAGTTGGAGTGGTGGTAGGGAACTGTTTTGGGTTTGTTGGGAACCGAATGATGTACCCATATTTA